AGGGGGGGGAGGGGTGTGCGGGGCTGAACGCAGAGTGGGGAGGGCAGAGTGCAAGGGGGCAGGTTGCACGAGGCCAGATGCAGCGCGGTGGCAGCGCCACACAGTGGGTAGTGGCAGCAACCACTGCAAACAAGTTGCCCCCCTGTTCCTGGGAGGCAGCAGTGGCACGGGTTGGTGGGAGGTGGTGCTCTGTCCTCCCCTTCCCCTCCCTTCCCACCATTCTTGATGGGCAACTGGCTAGAGTGTTCAGAATAAGACAATTCTATTTTTATTAAGGTATGCAAACACAGTGATACCTAAAGGAATTCAGTCTGACTTCAGTCCTTTAATTTTGTGCCATTAAAAATAGAGCTAATGACTGTAGGACAGAGGATTTCTCTGTAAACACTAGGCCAGACATCTTGGTGCAGCTATGTGCCCATCTTTTTAAACTGTTTTTCTTCATCTTATGGGAGTAAACCCCACAGATGTCAGACTAATCTTTTTCTTTGCAGTCTTCACTTTATTTTTCTGGTCTTAGTTTTGCTAAACATTTAGAAATGCATTAGTCATATGGTCACTGCACTGGTAAGATGAGTTTATGGGTCTTGTTAGCTGAAGATCCTAGAAGTTAAATGAGTTTTGTGAGTTCTGAGACCACAGTCCTTACTTTAGCAAGTAGCTACTCTCTTACTTAAAACTAAGCAAGTGTGTCTTTGTAGAATCTGTGCCTTCATTAGTATGCTTTGGAAAACGTCAAACAAATCATTAACAATAAACTGTCTCCATTTGATTTTCATGTGAAGGTATTAAATATTTTGAAAGAGTGGTGTAGACTGACAAAATACGTGGAATTATTGATGAAGGAAAGTGATGCATGGTATTGCCTTTTAAATGATAGTACATGTAGGCATGAGATTGTAATATAGAGTATAGGACAAGGATTTCTTCATCACTAACATAGTAGAGCTATGCACTTTAGGGATCACTAATCTAAAACTTCCAAAAGTTACCAGTGCTGATATACCAAAAGCCAGAGTGTTTTTTAATACATTATTGCAGTCTTGTAAGTCTTTCAGTAGGAGGGGAAAAGGTTATTTCAGAGAAGATTACAACCATACATTTGACATTCACTGCAGTTAAATACATCCATGGGAACTTTAATGAATCAAAGTGACCATTTCAAACAAATAGAGGCATAGACATAACAGTTTTCTGTCACCATGTCCAAATCAAATAGCACAAAGCAGAGGCTAATTCCCTCTTCTCTCTAGTCATACTCTATATTAGAAAAATATTGAAGTCTGCTTTCTTGTTTATTGCAAGTGATATGATATATCGCTGTCTTTTACTCTACTTAGAATCTCCCAATTTTGGTATATTATCCCTTTCCCTGTCTTGAGACATAATATATGGACTTTTCAGTGGTAGGCTATTTCTGTTACTTTGAAAATAGTCCTGAAGCGTTGTACTTGTAACCCCAGAGTCACAGTAGGTCTGTACACAGAGTAACTACAAGTTTGCATTCCTACCACATGCAGTAAAGCTTTGCCTATAGAGTCATGCCTCAGAGGAATTCAGTTAAACACAAAAGACCTTCAGGTACAGAAAGGCAACTTGTGGTCAGAAAACACTAGCTGAATGCACAAACAGAATCCTACTGAAAAGGTCATTAGCAGGCATCTCAGTCTCCAGGCTAGGAATTCATTTCTTGGACCATTAGCAGTAAAAAGCCTAATGATTAAATAGTACTCAGTTTCATATTAAAAATTAGTGAGAACAACTAGAACTTTTCCAGTCATAATAAGAATCAGAATTCATTGCTCATTTCCCCTTGTCCAGTATGTCATTTCCATCTTTGGAATAATACGCATTGTGCACGTTTATATGTTATTAAAATAGCATCTCTGTAAATATTTTGTCTTTAGTGTAACTTAGTGCAATTTTGTAAGTATTCTAGAGTAAAGACACCTGAGGAGAATTACAGTTTTTAGTACCTGGTTTAGACCACACAGTTTATCCTGACCATTGAGATTTGTAACTGCTTACAATTAACAATAAAATAACCTTTTTGACACAAATACAATTATTACATTTTGTACAGTATAGTGCCATAGGTATTTAAGTGTTTATTTGGTTGCAAATGTATAATAGGTTTCAGTGTAAGTTATGTTTTTATTTTCTGTTTTTTCTGATATCCCTAAAGTGACTCTTAAGTCTTCCATAGTTAGACAGACACACAAAAAAACAGCCATTTTGATCTGAATTAAGTATTGATTGTGTGCCCCAGATTTATGAAGAAATGACATAGGGTTATTCAGGAAGCTGTCTACACTTAGTGTGGCCTTATTTAGAAGCTACAAAATATGCAACTATTTATGGAAATTCATCTCAAGGACAGTTAGTAACATGGAATTATTATAGATAGAATTCTTTACAGTATTTGTGCCTGTCTTAAATGTTAAAGTTATATTATTTTAAAAAATTCAGTAAAACAAATCATGAAAGGGTACTGTGATGGGATACTTACCTGACTTGTCCTCATAAAACTTAGTGGAGGGAAGGAGAGAAGGCACTGAGGAAGAGCCACATAAAGAGTTCTGCTTGTTCTCCATCCACCAAAATCTCTCTCAGCCTCAGATAAAGTTGAGGTGAGCTCAGTGGCAATGCATAGCGGGTGCACAGGGGTGCACCTTCCCCCCTAAGAGCACCAGCTGGGGAGTGGGAGCACCAGGAGAAGTGATCCCTGCAGTCCCCCTGCAGCCGATTGCACTGACCGGTGGGGTCCCCCCATGGGCAATTTCACTAACGTGGAAATGCCAGCAACATGCTGCTGGCACTTCCAGACTGGCATTTTTGGCCACAGGGGGACCTCCCCCTGGTCACTGACTGGCTGCTGGGGGGTGGGGGGAAGTACCCCACCTGACTCAGGAGGCACCAGTTGCTCATGGGAGAGCTGATGCTGCCTTGAGCTGCACTATTGTGTAGTGCATATTTTTTGGATTCTACAGATGTAGAGTTGTTGACCCACTCCTGCCCTTCACCCTTTGATGTGGTCTGAGGGACCAAGGTAGGTACAAGAGACCTGTCCCAACAAAAATCAAGTTATCTAAAAGAATGGTTATAAGGAAACTTTTGTAAATTATTAATCTGTAAGTACGGTAAGTATGGAACTATGCAGAACACAGGTTTGAGCACTTACCCAGAGAAGGTTTTACCGTGTATCTCTGTGACTTCCCAGCATGGAGAAACCACCATAAAAAAACCACTCCAACCACCATACCACATCAGGCATTACCCAGGCTGTATTCCAGTGCTCCTTTTGAAGGTGCCTCCCAGGAGACACAAATGGTAGATATGTGGGTCTCTGCTTCCAATAGGGAAGAAACTTCCCCATTGCACTGCTCTGCATTCATTTTATCCAATGACTGTTAAATGCAAGGAAAGCCTGTACTCCTACATGGGTGGGGGGCCCTCCTTATCCTCCGCCTCCTCCTCTCCCCCACTAGTCAAGATTTTCCTACAGTTTCATGATCTGGCTAAGTACAGACAAACAGCCCAAGGCTGAATTGATTCAGTCTTTGCAGGTTAGTCTAAGCTGCAGCAATTTGAAATGATAAGCAAATGAATATACACACTCACTTTTGATTCAGGAAATGCAGCCATATGCCTGCAGTGGCTCAAACCAGAATATGGAGAGTGCTAGAGCATGCCTGCCAGCCACCACTGAGATGCAAGCTCTCCAAATATATTAGCCAAATAACAATGCATCGTTTGGCTAGATACTCTTTTTCTCTCAATAACTGAAACTTAGAAGTAAATATTACATTTTGTGACTTGTGCTTTTATCATTAAGAAACAAATTTAAATTGTGTGGGAGATCTTAGGTAAAATGAACCACCTTACTTGTTCAGTACACACTATACAGCAGACATCCTTCATAAGTTGCAGTGTCTTATTCACTTTGCACTCTGTGGAGAGATTTTGTATAGTACTATTATGTATAAATGTTTCTAATCTCAGTACTAGCCACAAAACCCTGGCCTTGAAGTTTTAAGGATCCCAGTTATTTTTTAGTGTCTTCTAAATTGTTTATTCTTTATTTTAACAGAGAGAAATGTTTCCTTTTTTTTCCAGCCTGAAGAGCTACCTTGTCTCTCTGAAGAACAGCTCAAGACCCTTCTGGAAGAATGTATGCAGTCTCAGAGAACAATAAGCAATATTCCCATGTCAAAATCACAGGAATTGCTTTCTGGTGAAAATTTTTTCTCACGTTACACAACTCAAGATGCTGCCCTTCTCTCAATGTCCACTCTTTCTAACCCATTGGGTGAAACCCATAGTGTAAGGATGTCAGCAGATCAGGAGAATGCTGGACTTGAGGGCAAAAATGAACACAGTTGTGCAGAGAATGAATCCCCAGGCTTCTATCTCACCAAAGCAATGGCTGATAGTCATTTATCAAAGGATTTGGTGGTCCAAACAGAAGAACCTAATGACTTAGAAAGTCTACAGGAGATTGCAGATAAGAGTAGTGCTGAAGGTTACTTTATGTCAAGAGCACTCAGCACAAAAAGCTTGAAAAAACCTTCTTTCTTGGATGAACCATTTTATGGCATCAGTGTGAACAATGAGCTATCCACAGAGGCTGACATTCCCAGCATACCATTGCAAACCAAAGGAGGTGAGGCTCTTAACAATCCTTTAAATAGGCTTTTGATTATGATGAAAATACCAAGCAGGTTCTTACCAAAGGTATGCACTAATGTACTGTGATTACTATGGTGGGGCAAGGATGTACTTTTATGAAGCAAAGCACTATGCCAGAAATAACACACAAAATTGAATTGAATGTTTATCAAAATTCTTACCTTCACATATTTGGCCATGAGATTAGTCCTCTTATGAAATATACTTTTGATGGTGATTAATTCTGTCAACTGGAAAATAAAGTTGGCTACACATATAGATTGTTGGTTTATAATAGAAAATCATGTTCCTCATTTTTTCATCTGAACTTTCCTTCTGTTGTCAGAGAAACTGTATTCTCATAGTCATTCCCATAACTCACATAAGTCCTAGGAGATACCTCTTGTGTGTGTTTGTTTAATATGACAAATAATATATTTAAAAAATAAAATCACATTGTGATCTAGTTAGAAGAAAAAACAATCAAATTGATTCTGAAACTTCCTCCCTGTATGACAAAAGACATTGAACGGCCACAACACTGCATAAGCTGTTCATTTGTGCAAACTGCTTTTTGTCTTTTCTGTGCAGTAGCAAGTTATGATTTTACTGAGTTTGAGCTGAGGCTGTTTGATTATACAGGACCTTAAAATCCTATTTAGTTTGCCAAACAATGAGTTGTTATTTTGTAAGTAAGCTCTTTCAAATTGGGAAAGTGCTTTTGTAGATTCATTTCTAATTTAACTGAGTATCTCATCATCTCCTTATGGCATTAGTTTGTCAAGCTCTGCTTATATTGTTTCTTTGATTGTATGTTATTCTTCTTTTTTCATCCTGTAGGAAAGATACTGTAAGTTACGCTAATGTGACTTCACATGTCTGGAAGCAGGACATAAAGACTGTCAGTAACTAAGCCTGTTCAAATATGGCCCTTCTCACCATTCCCAGTCTTTACTTACTTTCTCATACAGGGAGCATGAAAAAGGAACCCTGCAAGATCTCCTTTTTGTTTTCCTTCTCAAGAGAAATAGCGAAGTGAATATGAGGAATATGCTATGCAATAACAAAGGAGTTATTGCTTGTACTGTGGAGAATTTTTACTAAAGCTTCTATTGTTTTTACTAGAAATAGCGTAGCACTTGTAAGAACGACATTGGGCTATTCAAAGCTCAGGAGGGAAGAAAGTCCATTATGCCATATCTTATTTAGGAAAGGAAAATCTTACACAAGTTCTAAAAGATTGCCTTTGCTGAGCTTCTGTATCACATCTGCTTTTCTTTAAATAATTTGAGGAAATGTATTACTTCAGAGAATAGAAGAAAGCTCTTGAGCATTGACACTTTTTACCTGTTGAGGTGGATATTATATGGTATCCCTCCAAAAACAACTAGAATGAGAAACTCAAAAGCTTGTGTCTGCTTTTGACTTATTCTTGAATATTTGCCATGACACCTCCTATTTTGTAAAATTCATTTGCCAGATACATTAGTAGTTTTGTATCAGCTTCCTTAACATAGGGAAAAGTTTAGGCAGCGAACATCCAGACCTTGACAATAATTTCCATTGTAGTAGTCAGTGCAGAAACGCTCTGTTCTGGGAAACAATCAGCTACATCAATATTTGTTTTATACCTTAAGAGTTAAAACTTTGACCATGTATTATTATGCAGGCATGTGTGGAAAATCTTAAACTTGTCTTAAGAAAATGTAAGGCATTTCAATATCGGGGGGGGAAAAAAAGAAAACAAGAATAAAGCAGCATGTCCTTTCACACAGGCGTTTTTCCCAAACAGTTGGCTAAATTCTGCCTCAAGATGCACGCCGATTTCTTAGAGCGCCAATCAACCAAGAACAGAATTTGGCCCTTTCACCTTGTTGTTTCCTATGGTTAAAAAAAGTAAACAGAACTTATTAACCATCAAGAAATGTGGTATCTTGCCATATCATTTTGTTGCATAAAAACACATGTTCAGCCTAGGCAGAATGGAAGAATCCAAACAAAATTTACAATTTTGGTACTAAGTGAAAAATAATCCCCTGCCAGATAACTCCATAAGGCATGAAAATAGGGAAGTAACTTGAGACTGATGGGAAGCACTCCTTAGAATGGCTGCTAGAGACATCCTTCTGAGACAGCTGACTTCTTAACTGTATCTTTATAATTGTGTTAAACAGAAAGCACATAATGTACAACCATATTATAGACCAATCTTTGGGTATATTTCTCTTCATATCATTAATCTTTTTCATACAACTTATGCTTTTAGTAATAATAAATAATTCAGTAATAATACAGAGTTTACTCTTATACCACTTCTTACCACCAGTTCTCAAAACACTTTACAAAGGCGGTCCATATACTTATCCCCATTTCAGTTGGGAAAACTGGAAGGTGAATTCACTTGCTCACAGACACCAAGAAGGCTAGTAATCAAGCAGGAACTAGAAACCAAGGATACATCTACACATGCATTAAGGCACTTTTCCTAATGCACATTAAATTTAGTACCTCCAGTGTGAGGTACTAAACAAATGCACATTAGGCTGCCTTAATGCGCAGTAAGAACTGAGCAGTTTTTAAGTGACACTTAATGTGGAGTAGCCTGTTTTAGTGTGCATAAGCATAATAGCACAGTTTTTTTTTACGTGATGCTTTAATGTGCAGTAAAATAGGCTACTGTGCATTAAAGTGCACCTGTAGATGCACCCCAGGAGTCCTGAGTTCCATGGAGGGCACTGTCCTTTAGGCAACAGTGGCTGCCCTTTTGAGTAAACTTTTTGTGCAAAAAAAAAAAAAAAAGGCTTTTAATAATATGGGTTAAAATATATGCCCAGTTATCTTGCTTAAATTCTTGCTGTTAATTATTCTCTTTCTGTCTGCTTGTTTTGAGAAAGAACTTTTCACCTGGAAAGAAGCTGTCAGTACCATTCTGTAGCCCAACTCTTATTCAGTGAAATTTAAGCCTTTTCCTAGTTCATGAACTCAGACCATTCTGGGATGGTTTAAATTAAGTAGAGGTTAATGTTAGATTTTCAGGTAATGTAGAAGTATAAAGGTACTTGTTCGTTGCCAAAAGTGCTTTTATTTTAATTTTGTAGACTGTATAACATTGTGATTTGTGATGCAAAATTACATATAGAAACAAAATAAAACATACCTTAAAAGAAGTATGATTAGCATTATAAAATAATCACACAATCATTATTGTGGAGGAGTCATGCAGTTATGTCTTGAGAGTTGGTAAGGACATGCAGTTAGGGTCAAATGCGCCTCTGGATGCACATATGCTGCCTGTTAAAACAAATAGAAGCCAAACTTATATACATATCAGGGTGTGAATATTAAAGATTGTGGGACAAATGACACATTTACATTGGTGTAATGATTCTTAACATTAGTGTCGGTTGACATAGGGTCATAGGAAAGTAGGACTGAAAAGGACCTCATGGAGTTATCTAGACAAGCCTCCTGCTTAAGGCAGGATCATCCCTGCCTAAACCATCCCAGCCAAGAGTTTGCCCAGCCTGCTCTTGAAAACTTCCAAGGAAGGAAATTCCACAACTTTTCCACAGCCTGTTCCAATGTTTGACCACCCTCAGAATCAGAAAGTTCCAACTCATTTCCAATCTAAATTTCCTCTGCTGTATCTTGAGGCTGTTGCTCCTAATCCTGTCCCATATGGCCACAGATAAAAGCCCATCTTCATCCTCTTTATAATCACCATTCAGGTATTTGAAGGCTGTTATCAAATCCCTCTTTAATCTTTTTCTCTCCAGGCTAAATAACCTTAGTTCTTTCAGTCTTTCCTCACAAGTCATATTTCCCTTGCCTCTAACCATTTTTATCACTGTCTGCTGGATTCTTTCCAATTTCTCCACATCCTTTTTGAAGTTTGGAGCTCAAAACTGGACACAGCACTCCAGGTGAGGCCTCACCAGTGCCAAATAGAGTGGAAGGATCATTTTCCTTGTTATGCAAGTTAAACTTCTGTTAATACCATACAACGCTGGTGTTTTTCTCAACAAGAGTACACTGTTGGTTCTTATTCAGCTTATGGTCCACTGTAACCCCCAGGGCCCTCTCAGTAGTAATGCCCAACTAGTTCCCCAGTCTGTATTTGTGCATGAAATTATTCTGTCCCAGGTGCAGGACTGCATCTGTGCTTGCTTTATCTGATCTGGTTGATTGAAGATCAGTTCTCCTGTCTGTCTACATCATTCTGGATCCTAGTCCTGCCCTTTAGCGTGTCTGCAACTCCACCCAACTTGATGTCATCTGCAAATTTGCTAAGTATGCACTTGATCCTGTTGTTCAAATCATAAATGAAGAAGTTGAACAGGACAAACCCCAGGGGAACCCCACTTAATACGTTCTCCAAACTATACATTGAGTTATTGAAAATTATTAATTGAATATAATGATCCAACCAGTTATGTATCCACTTTACAGTACTTTCTTCTAATCTGTTTTTCCTTAGCTTGCTAATGAGAACATCATAGGAAACTGTGTCAAAAGCCTAGCTATAAAGTCAAAGTACATCACATCTGCTGCTCCGTACATCCATGGAGCCTGTCACCTTATCATAGAAAGGAAATCAGGTTGGTCAAGTATGACTTGCTCTTGGTGAATCCATGCTGGCTGTTCTTGATCACCCTGTTCTCTTCAAGGTGCTTCACAATTGATTCCTTGAGGACCTGCTCCATGATCTTTCCAGGGACTAAGATCAGGCTGACTAGTCTGTAATTCCCTGATTCTCAGTCTTCCCTTTCTTTAAGATGGGTATTATATTTGCCCTTTCCCAATCATCTGGGACATCACCTGACCTCCATGAGTTTTCGAAGAGGACGGCTAATGGCACTGAAATTACCTCAGCCTCAGTACCCTAGTGTGCATTCCATCCAGCCCTGCTGACTTGAAAGCATCTAGCTTCTCTAAGTAATCCCTAACCTGTTCTACCATTTCTCTAAGGTGTTTGTTTCCTTCCCTAGCTTTTCTGCCAATTGCACACATCATCTGATAGTTATACCTGTTCATGAAGATTGAACCAAAAAAGGCAGTAAATAGTTTAGCCTTCTCTGCATTCATAATTATATTGTCTTCTGCATTCTGCAAGGGACCTATTATTTAATTGGTCTTCCTTTTACTTTTGATATAGTTATAGAATCCCTTTTTTATTTTTTAAAAAGGTCATAGCCAGCTGCATCTCCAATTGTGTCTTGGCTTTCCCAGTTTCCCCCCTGCATGGCCATGTGATGCACTTATACTCTTCCCTAGTACTATGACTGAATTTCCACTTTCTATAGGATTTATTTTGAGTTTCAACCCATTGAAGACAGTGCTGTCTAGGTAGGCTGGCCTCCTGTTTCACTCCCCATTCTTCTGTCATATTGAGATAGCATGCTTCTGCACCCTTAAAAGGACCTTCTTAAAGTACGGTTATCTCACCAATATCAACATATCTATATTGACAACCCTGCATCAGTGTAAGATACTGAATCCCAGGAAGTTAGTCTCTGAAAAATTAGGGATAAAATTACACTGGTGTAAATTACATGAGTTAAAGCTATTACAGGGTCACTGTTTGCTGTATGCAAAGGGACATTTACCAGCTCTCTTTCTCTCATGTTAGTTAGTCTGTAACACTGCTGACTGCAGGCATCTGTGTCTAGATAGGTGCTTATCTGTCCACTCAGGATGTCAGTGTAATTGACATTGGTCCACAAAAATAATATACATTACATTAGTCTAAACTGTCTGGGATTGGTTACAATCAATGGTTACTGCTTTCATTTATGTTTGTGAATATTACTAATCTTTTAGTAATTTGTGTATAATTTCTTCTTTTGTGCAGATGGTTTGAAGGTTGAAGATGCAGCAGAAGAGTAATTATCTACTGAGTCATGTTTATAAAACATTAGTAAATTCCACCTTGCAGGTTTTACAGTAATATATGATCATTTCTGATTTTTTGGATACAGTGACTAATCATTGCATGTAGGAGTTATTACTGTGAAACAGTTTTCCTCATAAGAAACTACATTACACACTGCTAGTTTGACTTCTAAAGAAAAAATACTCATTTTAATTGAACTTCTTGAGAATGTGTTACATAGTAGTGTTCTGTGTATTATCTTCAGTTTATATGTATATTTTAAATACAGTGGTTAATAAAAACTTTTAACACAAAGTTGTTCTGATTTTTGTGAAACTGTACGTGAACTCTGTTATCACTGCCATGTCCAGATATTCTTTAGTTTTCTTTCACTGATTTCTGTGAGCTGGTCTGGTGAACACCAAATTCTCTGGCCCCAGCCATGCCCCTTTTTCATGAATACTGAGTGAGCTATTTAGGTTGGGTGTCAAATTTATTACAGGGAAGCTCACCTACTTTGTCTGCCATGTAAAAACAGTTGAAAAGATCTCATTGTGGATAGTTTCATAGTACTAGCTACTATGTTGCTACTATGTTGGATGTGTTGCTTAACTCTTATTGGAAAGCCATATTCCAATGCTGCCTATTGCACCTCCTTCATATTTCAGTGCTTTTTCTAAGGTAAAGTATAGAAGGAGCTAATTCAGAAAACTACTGGAAGTCTGTTACTGTGTTTCCCCTCAGCCTTCTCTTTTCTAGAGTAAACAAACTAAATTCCTTCAGCCTTTTCTCATAGCCCATGCTTATCAAATTTATTTTTTATTTTTGTTACTCTTTTCTAAACTACATCCAATGGATCTCTATCTTTCTTAAAGTCTAGTGACCAAAAATGGACATGTTTTTCCATCTGAGGCCTCACCAGCACCAAGTGGACCAGAATAATTACATTTGATGTTTTACACAATCTTAGCATTGATAAATGCTAAAATGAGATTTAATTTTTTGCAATATCATTACTCATGTTTAGTCTGTGATATGCTATAACTGTCCAATCTATTTCTGTCATACTGATGTTCAGCCAAATGTCTGCCATTTTGTATTCATGCATTTAATTTCTCTTTACTAAATGTAGCAAATTGCTTGTCATTATTGGATTTGATTTTGTTTATTCCAGATTGTCTCTCCAATTTTTGAAGATCATTTTGAATTCTGAGTGTTTGGAATTCTCTCCAATTTAGTTTCATCCACAGATTTTATAAGTATACTTGCTATTCCGCCATCCAAATCATTACTAAAATATTGAATATAGCTGGTCCCAGGACAGACCCCTTTGGGATCTCCTTTGAGATGCCCTCTCAGATGAATTTGGTCTTCTAAATTTGAAAGATGGACAGAGTAAGTAAGAATGATACAGCTAAATTTTCAAATCAGGGCATCAATCAAATATTAGTTCAGGCAAAATCCATGTTGCACATGCAGGTAATGTAACTGCATAGTTTACTGATATATATGCATAGTCAGTGATAGTACACTTTGTACATAAAAAGTCTATACTTCTTGAAGATTCAATTAAGCAAATGTGCCCCTAATATTTTTACTGTAGAGATTTGAAAGTTAATTCAGTCATGTTACTTTGTAGCCAGTCTTTCAAATTTTTATTTCTAAATTAATTAGCAATAATATTTTCACTAGAGCTAGACATTTTACATGTCCACACTGCCCTGGATAAAATTAGGAATCTGCTCATTGCAAGCAGATTTCACCAAGCTTCTGCAAAGCTGTTCAATAGAATTTATTTCTGAAGAGTGTTTAAAGCTATAAATCTGTGCCTAATTTTTATTCAATACCAGAAATGTAATCTAAACTAGTCAAGATATCTGGCTGTTCAGTAGCATTTTTATGTGCACATGGTACTCATGCTGAGCTATACATTGGCTATACACTTTTAACAGTTCACTTATTTTCACATGGAATTTCTGAAATTTGATATAATTTAAAAGAAATAACATTAAAAGGCTGATGAATTATCTGTGTAATGTATTAATACAGTGATACTCAACTTTTAGCTTTGCATACCATGATCAGGCCTTGAGGTCCAACACCACCTCATCTCTGCCTCTTGCACTAGGATTGGGCCGTGGGGCTCAGCACTGATCCCACCTGGTCCTACACAATGGAATTAGGCACCTGATCCAGTGTGCAGGGCCCAGGGCTGCCCATGGGTCTGGAAATTTGGCAGTCGGGAAGCAGTGCCTCTGGATCTGGCCTGTGGGCCAGGGGTTGAGCACTGCTGTATTAATTTATAATCACTACATATATCTTGCAAGAGTGGTTATTGAGGGAAGCCTTGTACTAGAAAATGAAGCTTTTCTTTCATATGCAGTGGTAACAGCATTGTGACAGATTAAGACAGGTAATAGCTAATTCTTAAAGTAGTTTACCTTTGAATTATAATAATGATTTATATGGCCTCACAGATTCACTAGAGTTGAGGTTGCTCAGAAGATTAGGAAGTCAGCAAACCTTCATCATAACTACTGACCTCCCTTGGTCCATTGTCTTCCAAAACCTAAATCATGCTGAAATCATATAAACACTTCAGATATCTTCTTCAAAAGAAAAATGTGTGTTGCCAGAAACCCAAAGGAAAAGCCTTTGGAAATAGATAGGTATTGCAGCATGTCTAAGGTTAGCAAAGTAAGCCTGGAGAGGAGCCAGTGGCAGGAGTGAGACCAGGCCCCTTCACTGAAAATGCCCTGCTAGTTTTGTCCCCTTTTAAATCCGAGATCTCTTAATCATTATTATTATCTATACCATCCTATTTCCTTGAAGCCCAGGTTATGGAGCAGGACCCCCTTACGTTAGACACTATACAACTATGGAACAAAAAGATGTTCCTTACTCCAAAGACCTGACTATTTAAAGAGATAACTGATAAATACAGACAGATGGGAATGCAAGGAAACGATGCAAAATTGGTCAGCATGGCAGGCAGGTATATTAGTGCACCAGCACCCTACCTTACCAATTTTGTAGGCATTACAGCCACAACATTAGAAGACACTGCAGGTTGTCTTTGTGGCATCCAGGGGTCAAATGCTATTATTGTTAACTGTTCTTATCAAGATAGAATCCCAAATCTCCAGTCAGGTTCAAGAACCTGTTGTGCTGGGTGCTGTACAAACAAAGATAAGAAAAGCTTGCTTGTGGGCATGGCTCAATTCCTTTACATTTGTGCCAGGAAGCATTGCAGTGAAGCACAGTATGTCTGTTTCAGACATGCTAAACTCTCACACAGTTGTAATGTAACTGCCTTAGAGTGCATTGGAGTGTGTGACCAATAAGAGTGTTGTGCTTCAGTGTATCACTCAAGCACTATCAAGAGGTGGTGAATACACGCCTTTCTTAATTTATATCCTGAAACAAAGAAGGACAGATGACAGGGCTTATTGCATGGTCTGTGCATAGAACAGTATGTAGCAGGCTTGCCTTTTGGAGCTTGGGCTGAGTCCCAGGCTTGAGATTCTGCTGTTTTGATTGGTGTAACCCATCCACCAATCAGGAGGCAGCAAGAGAAATGAAGTCACGCCCATTTCCTGGGGGAGGGTGGAGGGGAGGAGAGCTCTCCCGGACCTGACTGAAGACTGCAACACTGTCAGGTCCAGAGGCTTCAGGGGTGGAGCCCTGGAGAGTATAAAAGGAGCTGTGTGCCCAGCACGAGGGAGATGTGTTGGAGACAGAGAAGAGCAGGGCTTAGAAGAGCTGAGGAGAGCTGCCCAGCAGGGTGAAGCAGTAATCCAGAAGAGCCCCTGAAGACTTCCATCAGTGGGGAGCTGCAGATGGCTCCAGCGGTTAGGCTTTTGGTGCACAGCACGGTGCATGGTGTCCAGACCATGGGAGCTATGTGAGGTGGCTTGGGTCTGCAACCTTTGGCATGTGGCCAGAGACACGGTGCACAGGCCAGTGCATGGAGCAGGATCTCAGGTCCCCAACCTCTGCACAAGGCCAGGAGCTTGGTGCAGGAGGCGCTGCACAGAGGTTGAGACACCCTGAGAGCTGCTTGAGGTGGCTTGGGTCTACAGCTGCTGGCACAGGGCGGCAGCTCAGTGCAGATGATGCTGCACAGAGGGTCCGGGAGCAGACTGATACCAGTGCTGCACAAGGTTGCCTGGGTCTCCAACCCCTAGGACAAAGTGAAGCGCCTGCTACACACAGCAGTACATGTGGCCCTAAGCTGGGCCAGTGGCAGGAGAGTCAGGCAGCAGAAATGTCCTGTGGGGAACGGAGCTCGGTTCAGAGAATGGGAGGCAACCCTCCAGGACTGTGAAGTAGTAAGTAACCCTGGAGAGAGGGTCCCCACAGGGGAGGGACCCCCCAGGGTTGTGAAGAGGCACCACATGGGCTGCTCCTGGGTGATAGCAGGGGCTTAGGAGTCATTGAACTCTCCCTCTCCTTTTCTTTCCCCCCACCTCCTTTCCTGTAGTGGTACCTTGGGAGTGGGGCCCCTGCCCCGGAGGGCACCCAGGTAGTCTAAGGATTGCTTGTTATGTTTGTAGACTGTGCCTTATAGTTTATGTGAATAAGTTGAAGTAGTAGTTTGTATTTTAATAGAGATATAGGATTGCCTGATTAATATATTTTGTTCTGGGTTGTTCTATTGTTCATTTGTGTTTTTTGAATAATTGGGTGCATATATATATTGTATAAAGTTTATTGTTTTGTAAATTTGCATATATATATATACTCTACATCCTTACGCTTTAATGGTTTTGTTGTAATAATAAATTTGTATACGCAGGCAGTCCATGGACTTATGACATAATTGGTTCCTGAAAACTGCATCTTAAGTCGAAACGTTGTAACTTGGAACTGTTTTTCCCATAGGAAACAATGTTATAAATGGGAATTGGTTCCTGAACCAAGGTGGATACTCTATTTTCACCAAAAATAACCGAGAATTTTGTACTCAATCAATTATAGATGAATAATATAGCTACATTAATGCATTTATATTATACATAGCAATCATATTGATTTGGAAGGATTTATTTGAGGTGACTTTGCTGGACTTTTTGAAGGGCTCTTGGTTGGGCTTTTTGAAGGGTTCTTGGCTGCAGCCTTATCAGGAGTCTTGGCTGCAGGTTTTTCTGGAGTCTTGGCTGCTTTCTTAAAGGAAGTATCTAAGCAAGTTTGGACAGATGTTTTCCAGGGATATGGATGACACAGCGAACTTGTTCACTGGTGTGGTGTCACGTCAGATCAAACGTTGTAAAATTGAAACTAACATCAGAAAGTTGAAACAGGGTGTCAATTTATA